CTGCTTAGTGATAAAGTAAAGTAATTACAGGGAAATTGCATTGCATACAATAAAGCGACAACCATATGGCTCCTGCTAGTTGTCGATAACTCGGTTACAAAACATGATCATCTCATACAATAAAATATAGCATCATGCCTTGACCATATCATATCACAACATGCCCTGCAAAAACAAGTTAGACGTCATCTACTTTGTTGTTGCAAGTTTTACGTGGCTGCTACGGGCTGAGCAAAAACCGTTCTTACCTACGCATCAAAACCACAATGATAGTTCATCAAGTTAGTGATGTTTTAACCTTCTCAAGGACCGGGCGTAACCACACTCGGTTCAACTAAAGTTGGAGAAACTGACACCAGCCACCTATGTGCAAAGCACGTCGGTAGAACCAGTCTCGCGTAAGCGTACGCGTAATGTCGGTCCGGGCCGCTTCATCCAACAATATCGATGAACCAAAGTATGACATGCTGGTAAGCAGTATGACTTGTATCGCCCACAACTCACTTGTGTTCTACTCGTGCATATAACATCTACGCATAAAACCTGGCTCGGATGCCACTGTTGGGGAACATAGTAATTTCAAAAAAATTCCTACGCACACGCAAGATCATGGTGATGCAGAGCAACGAGAGGGGAGAGTGTGTCCACGTATCCTCGTAGACTGAAAGCGGAAGCTTTAGAACAACGCGGTTGATGTAGTTGTACGTCTTCACGGCCCGACCGATCAAGCACCGAAACTACGACACCTCCGAGTTCTAGCACACGTTCAGCTTGATGACGTCCCTCGTACTCCGATCCAGCCGAGTGTCGAGGGAGAGTTCCGTCAGCACGACGGCGTGGTGACGATCTTGATGTTCTACCGTCACAGGGCTTCGCCTAAGAACCGCTACAATATTATCGAGGAGGACTGTGGTGGAGGGGGGCACCGCGCACGGCTAAGAGATCAAGAGATCAATTGTTGTCCCTATGGGGTGCCTCCCTCCTCCGTATATAAAGGGGGGAGGAGAGGGCCGGCCTAGGGGAGGAGGCGCGCCCAAGGGGGGCAATCCTACTCCAAGTAGGATTCCCCCCTCTTTCCTAGTCCAAGTAGGAGAGGGGAAGGAAGGGAAGGAGAAGGAGAAGGAAGGAGAGGGAGGAAAAAGAGGAAAGGGGGCACGGCCCCCTAGTCCAATTCGGTTTGGGCTAGGGGGGCCGCGCGCCCCTCCTCTCTTCCACCACTTGGCCCATGAGGCCCATTGCTTCTTCCTCGTATTCCCGTAACTCCCCGGTACCCCCGGAAATACCCGAATCACTCGAAACCTTTACGATGTCCGAATATAGTCGTCCAATATATTGATCTTTACATGTCGACCATTTCGAGACTCCTCGTCATGTCCCCGATCCCATCCGGGACTCTGAACTACCTTCGGTACATCAAATCACATAAACTCATAATATAACTGTCATCGAAACCTTAAGCGTGCGGTCCCTACGGGTTCGAGAACTATGTAGACATGACCGAGACACATTTCCAGTCAATAACCAATAGCGGAACCTGGATGCTCATATTGGCTCCTACATATTCGACGAAGATCTTTATCGGTCAAACTGCATAACAACATACGTTGTTCCCTTTGTCATCGGTATGTTACTTGCCCGAGATTCGATCGTCGGTATCTCAGTACCTAGTTCAATCTCGTTACCGGCAAGTCTCTTTACTCGTTACGTAATGCATCATCCCACAACTAACTCATTAGCCACATTGCTTGCAAGGCTTATAGTGATGTGCATTACCGAGAGGGCCCAGAGATACCTCTCCGACAATCGAAGTGACAAATCCTAATCTCGAAATATGCCAACTCAATATGTACCTTCGGAGACACCTGTAGAGCTCCTTTATAATCACCCAGTTACGTTGTGACGTTTGGTAGCACACAAAGTGTTCCTCCGGTAAATGAGAGTTGCATAATCTCATAGTTATAGGAACGTGTATAAGTCATGAAGAAAGCAATAGCAACATACTAAACTATCAAGTGCTAAGCTAACGAAATGGGTCAAGTCAATCACATCATTCTTCTAATGATGTGATCCCGTTAATCAAATGACAACTCATGTCTATGGCTAGGAAACACAACCATCTTTGATCAACAAGCTAGTCAAGTAGAGGCATACTAGTGACACTATATTTGTCTATGTATTTACACATGTATTATGTTTCCGGTTAATACAATTCTAGCATGAATAATAAACATTTATCATGAAATAAGGAAATAAATAATAACTTTATTATTGCCTCTAGGGCATATTTCCTTCACTTTTCCCCCTCCTCGCCGTCGCCGCGCCACTACCACGGCCACTACCGACCCCGAGCGCCTCCGACGTGCCCACCTGCCTCGCCAGCCTCCGCTACGTCCTCCCCGACCATGAGCTCAAGCCGGGGAGCACCATAGCGCCCGCTCCGTCGTCGCCTTCCTCCTCGGGTCACCGCAGCCTTCTTCGACTCCGGCGACCGCCTCTGCGCTCCCGTCACTCGCCGCACCTTCTTGCGCACACTCGATGAGCTCCTCACCCTCTCCCCTCTCTCACATAGGCCGCCCTCTCTAGCTCGCTCGCCGTAGCAGACGTAGCTCGCCGGCGCCCGGCTCCGTGGTCGCCGTGGCCACGCTCGACGTCGAGCTCAACATAGCATGGCACCATGCCCAACATGCTCCGAGCAGCCCGACCACATGCCAGTTGCCCCTGCCATGCCCTGCGTGGATGAGCTCAAGTTCACCCGAGCAACGCCGGCGCCGTCTCTGGGCACCCTCAGCCTGACCACCACCATGGCTCGACGCGGCTCGACGCCCGCGTCCAAACGCACCACCGCACGCGCCTTCTGGCGCCCCGTAGCACCGTCCTCGGTGAGGCCCGAAGCTAGCCGCCGCCCCCGTCGCTCGCCGGCATCGCTCCGGCCAGCCCCCGCACCTGCTGCTGCTTTAGATTGAAGCGCGTTGTTCCCCTGCTTCTGTAGATGCTCGCAGCGGTCCAAACGGCCCCTGATGGCTGTTTTCCGGCCATGTCCGAGCCGTGTCGCCATCAGAAAGGTCGCCGCCCGCTGACGTGGCACCACCTGGGCCCCCTGGGCCACTGACTAGTGGGCCCAGGGGCCCCCTTTGACCCTGTTGACCGCGGTCAACGCTGACTGGGCAGCGCCCAACCGCTCAGTGGGCCCACCCCTAAACTAAGTAATACTTAATTAAATTAATTAGATAAATTAGTTTAACCTAATTACACACTAACATGTGGGCTCAATAGGTTAATTAACTAATTTAGATTAGTTTTAAATGTTGTTAACTAAATTAGTTTTAATTTATAGGCTATGGCACAACCTCTCCAGCAGAAGCACACTGCACTGAGAGATCTGCGCTCCGCTGTCACTGATGGGTATGACTCGCCACGCCGGGCCCCACGTGTCATTGTGATACAGGGAGGTAGGGAGAGTGTAAAAGTGTAGGCCACTATTCATTGTAGCAGTGTTTGCTATGATCCGACGGCCAGGATCGCTCCAGCTGAAGGTCTGACAGCCAATATACGTTTGAAAACACAATCCGACGGTCCATACCACTGATGCCCTGAGAGAGCTTCATTTTGTTCCAGACTCTAACAATAGGATGTTGATATTTTCCTATAAAGTTGATTAAACCTTACGAAGCTTGACTTCATATAAATCTTACTTCTAGAGTAGAAAGAGTCGGATGACTAACTAACTTTATACTGTATATCTTTATGGCGTACTCCCTTCGATCCTTTTTACTCCGCGTATTAGATTTGGGTCAAGTCAAACATTGCAAAGTTTGACCAAATTTATATTAAAAATATCAACATCTACAGTTCCAAATATATATACTATGATTTCGCATTGTGAATATTGATACTTTTCTCTATAATATTGATCAAAGTAGAGATACTTTGACTTAAGACAAAAGTTATATGCAGACTAAAAAGAACCGAAGGGAGTACATAACAATCGTTGGTCAAATTAAAGATATACTCCCTTTGTCCTAATGTCTCAACTTTGTACTAGTTCTAGTATAAATTTACGGAAATGTTAACGCCCACATGTGTGGGCGTTTGCACATCGCCCACACGCCTCCATCACCACTCATTTTGCCATGTATGAATAGATGACATCAGCAGAATTTTTTTTGGTTTTCGGCTTAAAAATGTTGTATCTCCTAAATAAAAAGGCGAACTAAAAATCCGTTTTCACCATTAAATCCGTCTCAACGAGATCTTCAAAACTAGACCCCATGTTGATATGTTTCGACGATTTTTTTTTTGCCAGAAGTTGCCACGATGTTTACACTGCAGTTGCCATAGTGGTTAAACTAAAGTTGCCATGTGGCAATTTTAGTTTGTAGATCATGGCAATTTTAGTATTTTAACGATGGCAACTCCATACTTTGACTATGAAAATTATTTTTTGTATGAACCATGGCAATTTTATGTGCATGTATCATGGCAATTTTAATTTATGGTTCATGGCAAGTCTAGTTTTTTAATTCCCCGTTTTATAAATGTCAAAATTTACTTTTAAATGTAGAAGAAAATAACTAAAACATATCATGGCAACTTTAGTGTAAACATCATGGCAATTCATATGCAATAGACGTGGCAACTTTTAATCCAAAAAAAATTTCATCAAAACATATCCACATGGGATCTAGTTTCGAAGATCTCACCGGGAGGGATTTAATGGTGAAAACGGATTTTTCGTTTAAGAGATAAAACATTTTAGAAACTGAAAATCCAAAAAGATTCCTGCATGCATGCATGCGATGACGTGGCAATCTGTTTACATTAGAGACGTGTAGTGCGTCTCCCTTCCTGCCACACGTGTGGCAGTTAGCGCGACCCTAAATTTATACTAAGCTCAAGACGCTTATTTTGTGACGGAGTGAGTATAAAAACTCATGTCCGACTTATAAACCTGGATACAAGTAGTAGTAGATTAAAGCTACTCCTCTGACCTGATTATTACACTATAAGCGCCGAGCGGCGAGCCTGGCCTCCTGGCGTTCCTCAATGCGGCGAATGTGTTTGCGGATGCAAGTCTCGGAGCAGAACGGGAAGAACTCCCGAGGAATCCGATGGGCGCCGATGCCACACTCCACGCACGGACCCCGTACCCGCGTCAGCACCCGGAGAAGCTCGTACCGCCCCTGCTCGTCCACGAGCACCGGATCTCCGAGCGCTACGCCGATGTGGGGCACCCACCACTCGTCGCCCGCGCATCTGACGCAGGTCCTCCAGCCGCGCTTCTCGATGCGGAGCACGCAGTCCCGGAGGCGCGCGTGGTCGCCGTGGTGGGCGCAGACGTCGACGCGGAAGGACTTGGAACAGTGAATGCAGAAGGCATCCCTTGGTAACGGCGAGGTGTAGTCCTGCGCCCTCATGAACTTGGCTATGTCCGGCGGGATCGGGTGCCGGTCCGGCGCCGGCGCCGTCCGGGTTGGGAATATGGGCCGGCCTTCGGTGTCAAGGTCGATGCGTAGGACCCGGAGGTCCGGCCACTCCGGGTGGAAGTGGTGATTGCCGCAGCAGTGGGAGCAGTAAGCCACGACGCAGCGCAGGCAGAAGCGGTCCCGGCGGCACGTCTCGGAGAAGTGGTTGTCGAACTGCAGGCGTTGCCTTCCGAGGCGCACCAGACCCATGGGTATCTCATCTGCGGGCAGAGCAGCCGGCGAAGACATCGATCGGTTCGATTTCTATCTAGTTGATCGCAGGGCCATCCATGTCATGGCTATATATAGACCCATGGCACGTCACGCGACCAATACGAGGTAGGGTTCCGAGTCAGGATCTAGATGAAATTAACGTGGGCCCGGCGACTGCAACTGCGGCCACTACGCCGGGGCGAACGCTCACAATTCGGAAGGCGTAGATTAGAACTAGACTAGAAGGGTTGGCGCTCTGCCGCGCGGTTGGTGTTGTTGAATTTTCATAAAAAAGTTCAAAGCCAGTTGAGCCGGCGAGGCCAACTCATTCATAAAAAGTTACTGTGTCTGTGCAAAATATAAGACGTAGAATATAAATTTTTACTCCCTCTGTCCTAAAATAGAGGAACGTTTTTAACACTACACTAGTGTCAAAAACGTTCTTATATTATGGGACGGAGGGAGTACTTTTTAGAAAAGTAAAACCTCAATAAGTTTGACCAAATTTATAGAGAAATATGTCAATATTCATAATATCAAATCATCATCGTTAGATTAACCATGAAATGATTTTTTTTCTTATCGTCCATGTTGATTTTTTTTTTGCTTTGACCTTGGTCAGACTTAAAGAAATTTGATTTTCAAAAAACAGATACACATTATATTTTGGAACGAGTATTTGGGTCGACGAGTGAGGGAGATGATGGAGTGTGTATTCTTTTTATTTTACAATACAATTTTTAGTGGGCCTTTCACGATGTGATTATGTATTATCTGCTAACGAACCCATACTTATGTGAGGAACTTTCTACATCGGTGGATGCATATACTCTATTGATGCTACATATCATATATTGGCGTTTCTTTTTTTTCTAGGTGGTGAGAGAGTGCGTGTGATTTATATCTTTTTATAGGCTGGTTGTTACCGATTGATTCAAAAAATCGTTGACTTTGTCAAAATCATGAACCAAATACAAAATTGTATACCTCAATCGGGTGAAAAAGCTCCAAGACTAACGAGAATAATTGATTAAAAGAACTCATTGAGAAATTATTGACCCGGTCAAAACTGAATGATCCAATTCTAAATTGGAGACCTCAGTGGATTGTAAGGCCGTAAAAATTAGGAAGCATAGTGTACTGAACTAAAGAGCTCCTTGATAAATTGTTGACCAGATCAAAATTGGGTAACCCAATACCAAATTAAAGACCTTAATTGATTGTGAGACCTTAAAATTACTAGTATAATGCCCGTGCGTTGCCACGGGCTTTTGAAATATTTCGCTGAAGTTATATAAACATAACGCAAGTTAAATTTCACATGTAGAGAAAAGATAGCGTGGGCATAATTGGATAATAATTAAAGTCCACTTCACTTGCAATGTAAATTGATTAAAAAACCTTCACTTGCAATGTAAATTGATTAAAAAACAATTTGACGATGTATGCATATAGAGCGATTATCTAACTAAAAATATGTTACAAATTAAAATTTACTTGATGCACTTAAGAAATTATCTCACAATCAAGAATGTTGTCTATCCAGTTTTTTTAGCTTACCTGCCTAGTCTTATTCTGACCTCAGCCGCTCTCTCACCACAACCAGCCCTCTCACTCTTTCACCCCACGCACCCCTCACTCTATGTGTTCCTGTGCCGACAAAGCTGACAATATGTAGACGATGAAAATGACTGTCATGAACCACATTATTCCTCATCTCTTCACCCAAATAGATCTTTCTAACATAGTTCCACCAATTTCTTCTATTTTCCGTGATTGTTCGGGATGGATGGTGCAAACGAAATGCTGTAACATGATGTGTCGACTATCCCTCTAAACACCACCACCATCTCCGCCACCTGAGATATCATGTACCCCGCCTTCAAATCCGTTAATCCCCCGCCCCTTCTCATCCAACGATGACCTGCCTCTAATTCTTCTTCTTCCTCCCGTAGCCACAGATTTTTTATTCGACCACTTTGTCAACCCGCCCGCCTCTCCCTGCCTAAGCACCTGCCACCGCCACCCTACAGCCGGCGAGTGTTGCCACACGTCGCCACTTGCTCAAGTCACCACTTCCGTCAACGCTGACGCCAGTCGTTCCTCTAAAACCTACCACCATTTTGGTGCCCACGACCTCCCGCACCCCGCACTCGAGACCACTAACCCCTTGCCTCTCCTCCGCCGCCAACACCCGCTGCTGCTACTACTCTTCTTCCTCCCTCTACATACCTTTTTTCTCCGTCCAGTCTATTGACCCGCCCACCTCTACCTACGAAACCACTTGCCACCACCATCAACAGTCAGCAAATGTTGTCACACACTACCTCCCTCTACCTGAGTTGCCGCCCAACCCTCTAAATAGTGCCACAATCTCTAGCACTCACGACCTTCCGCACCACAATAATCAATGGTTGGCCATATATGAAGAAAAAAGAAGGATCAAGATGGTTCTCTGAAGAAGTCATACCATCTCTTGTCACACATCATGTTCATAGATTCTAGGCATACTCTCTTCTCTTAACTTCATTATCATCTTTTTGGACTACAAAATCTAACACTCATGTTCTGAATAATCAGTAGAATAAATTAATTTCAAGACATGTCATGGATGAATTATTTGGGTGTCGTACTTAAAAATAATAACCATTTATGCTTGGGAGATATTTGATAGGTTACACCGAATGCCATGTAGAAGCGATGCCCAATTTGAATGGATGCATCGTCTTTCATGTCCGATAAATATCATTGGCATGCAAACTTGAGATACTTTGCCATCACCTGTGTTAAGTATGGCGCCTCTCCGCCACCAGAAAGAGGTGGGCTTCAGAATCAGATCAATAAAAATAAGTGGGATCCGGGATTTCTGGATTCAATGTATGCCCGTGCGTTGCTACGGGGCTTTTAACTTTTTTTCTGATGACTTTTTGTATTGTTGTATAAGACTTGGTGACTTTTTTACCCCTTCCAACAACGTCGTCGGGACCCTTCTTGATGGATTCATTTGGACTTCGACATAATTCATCTCCATCTCTATTGTAATCTACAAAAAAGAATGTCTATATATATATATATATATATATATATATATATATATATATATATATATATATATAGAGAGAGAGAGAGAGAGAGAGAGAGAGAGAGAGAAATACACCTTTTGTATTATTTGTTGGGGAACGTTGCAGAAAATTAAAATTTTTCCTACGGTTTCACCAAGATCCATCTATGAGTTCATCTAAGCAACGAGTCAAGGGAGTGAGTTTGCATCTACATACCACTTGTAGATCGCGTGCGGAAGCTTGCAAGGAGATGGTGATGATGGAGTCGTACTCGATGTGATTCGGATCACCGATGACCAAGTACTGAACGGACAGCACCTCCGCGTTCAACACACGTACGGGACGGGAGACGTCTCCTCCTTCTTGATCCAGCAAGGGGGGGAGGAGAGGTTGAGGAAGATCGCTCCAACGGCAGCACGACGGCGCGGTGTAGTTGGTGCAGCAGTACTCCGACAGGGCTTCGCCAAGCACGTACGGAGGAGGAGAGGTGTTGGGGAGGGGAGGGGCTGCGCCTTGGCTTGTGTGTTGCAGCCCGCCCCTCACCCCTCTATATATAGGGGAAGGGGGCAAGGGGGGCCGGCCCTCTAGGGAAAACCCTAGGGGGGCGGCGGCCAAAGGGAGAGAGGAAAGGGTGGCTTGCCCCCCAAGCCAGGGGGGCGCCCCCTTTAGGGTTTCCCCTCCCCTAGCCCTAGCCGCATGGGCCTAGGTGGGGAGGCGCGCCCAGCCCACTAGGGGCTGGCTCCCTGCCCCACACAGCCCATGTGGTCCCCCGGGAGGGGTGGCCCCACCCGGTGGACCTCCGGAACCCTTCCGGTGGCCCCGGTATGACCCCGAAACTTACCGGTGCCCGTTTGACAACTTCCCATATATAAATCTTTACCTCCGGACCCTTCCGGAACTCCTCGTGACATCCGGGATCTCATCCGGGACTCCGAACAACATTCGGTAGTCACATACTAGTCTTCCTAATAACCCTAGCGTCACCGAACCTTAAGTGTGTAGACCCTACGTGTTCGGGAGACATGCAGACATGACCGAGACGCTCCTAGGTCAATAACCAACAGCGGGATCTGGATACCCATGTTGGCTCCCACATGCTCCTCGATGTTGTCATCGGATGAACCACGATGTCGAGGATTTGATCAAACCCTGTATACAATTCCCTTTGTCAATCGGTACGTTACTTGCCCGAGACTCGATCGTCGGTATCCCAATACCTTGTTCAGTCTCGTTCCTGGCAAGTCACTTTACTCATACCGTAATGCATGATCCCGTGGCCAACACCTTGGTCACCTTGAGCTCATTATGATGATGCATTACCGAGTGGGCCCAGAGATACCTCTCCGTCATACGGAGTGACAAACCCAGTCTCGATCCGTGTCAACCCAACAGATACTTTCGGAGATACCTGTAATGCACCTTTATAGTCACCCAGTTATGTTGTGACGTTTGATACACCCAAGGCACTCCTACGGTATCCGGGAGTTACACGATCTCACGGTCTAAGGAAGAGATACTTGACATTGGCAAAGCTCTAGCAAACGAACTAAACGACCTTTATGCTATGCTTAGGATTGGGTCTTGTCCATCACATCATTCTCCTAATGATGTGATCCCGTTATCAATGACATCCAATGTCCATAGCCAGGAAACCATGACTATCTGTTGATCACAACGAGCTAGTCAACTAGAGGCTCACTAGGGACATATTGAGGTCTATGTATTCACACGTGTATTACGATTTCCGGATAATACAGTTATAGCATGAATAAAAGACAATTATCATGAACAAATAAATATAATAATACTTTTATTATTGCCTCTAGGGCATATTTCCAAGAGTCTCCCACTTGCACTAGAGTCACCAATCTAGTTACATTGTGATGAATCGAACACTCACAGAGTTCTGGTGTTGATCATGTTTTGCTCGTGAGAGAGGTTTAGTCAACGGATCTGCGACATTCAGATCCGTAT